TAATACAAGGGTTCATAATGGCTTCTTTGATTGGAAGGCATAGATTGGCTGATGGGGGTTTATTATTAGCAGGCTTGGTGCTGACTCTCGTGACATTCCTAGGGGAATAGGAGGAGATCACACTGCCCTCCTCAATAACCCCAACTGTCCCTCCACCCCCATTCCCCTGAAGCTTTTTGGGTAGGGCTAAGGGGAGTGAACTAGGGGAGATGAGAATTGTTCCCGTTTTGAGGACAAAGACATCATGAGAGAAGCACGTTCTGCTCTTCCTACACATCAGGCTCGTAGTCCCTGTGGCAGGTCAGCAAAATGGGGGAGATTCTTGTATTGATGCTTGGTGTTATGGTGCGGCATGGAGGACCACTGAGTGCATTTACTTTGGAAATGCTGAGGTGACCGCCAGGCATGTGAAGCCTGAGGTGCTGGGTATGTGTCTTTGCTTGCCAGGAAGGAGAGCGAGCAGCGGGCACCAGCTCCTTTGCAGTGATGAAAAATCATCATGCTCTTGCACACAGAAGAAGCCTTTTGTCTTGACTGCTTGGGCAGATGCGAATGTGCGAAAAATGCTGGAAGTATAACCTCTGCAGATGCAGAACCTATCTGTTATTCTCTACTATAACCTCCATCAAGATCTGATTTTTTTTCTGAAATTAAATGTTGTTTGCCTGAGGGATAAAGCAGCGGTTCTGACAAAACCACCACAATACTCAGAACTGGTTTAAAAAAACATGGAAACTTGGTCTTACCTGGTTCTACCTACTTCCACATGCAGCTGAATCGCTATAGCAGAGAAACTAGTAACACACCCACACTGAGCCTATACACACATGGAAAGGGTACATAAAGCTTAGCTCATCTTCTGGACTGGAGCAGACATAGCAACACTCCTTGTACTAATCCTGAGCACACAAATACACTGATATTTGCAGCAAGGATCAGCTGTCCAAATACTTCACTGAATACCAGCTACTCATAGATTTTACTGACCACAGCCGCTGGCTAAGTATATTCCTGTCTTCATTTCTCTTAAGATTTTGAGAACCATGGGGCTTAACCCCAAGTCAGCCATTGGCTTTCCCCTTGGTTACATTCGTTTCTCACTCGCCAGCCCCTCTTTTTGATGGAGTCCTACACTGACTCCCTCAGCAGTGGGTTTTAATGTTTCTTGACAATATCATGCAGTATGTTACATGCAAAAAACATCCCATTGTATTTTCAGGCACCTTCTACTACCAATCAGGTTTGCACGGGTACTGAAACCTTTTCAGGAAGCCAGATGCTTTTGCTGTGTCATTCTGGAGGATCTCTGTTGTGCCCTGGCCTGAACATGCTTTCAGATTTAGAGAAAGAAAAAAGCCAATTATTTTTTCTTCTATTCATGAACACATTAATAGGCCCATCTGAGGATGAGGATGACGTAGTTATGTGACCTCTATGCTCACACAAGAGAAAACCAGGCTCTCCCATCCTGCTCCTCATGAGCACAGGCAGGTATTTGTTAGGCCTCTGCCCATTAGGAAGACAATGTAGGTTGCTTCCCTGACCATGGAAGTATTATCTAGCCAGGCTTTCTACTTAGCAGTTGCATCATGGTTTTCAAGTCAAGCTGTGTTCATCAAATGTGCAATGGAGAACTCCTGCACTCCCAAACCCTACTTGAAAAGTACCGATGCACGCACTGACTCTAAATTCTGGCAACCTCCTCTCTTCTTCCTAAAGTATCAGTAAGAAGTGATTAGGGTACATTATCAAAAAGAAACATTTAGACACATTCTCTTGAACTTCCCTGGCTGTATCAGCTATGATATTGACTGCCGTTCCCTATGCTCTACATACAACCTTCCCCCATCAGAAACCTCATACCAGCTGCTTTCACCCATGCTTTTGGTTTCCACTCTCTGTCAGACTGTGGTGCTGGTTTGTTGTGTGCAGCACAGTCAAGGCGAACTGTGGCCAACTGAGTCCAAGAGGCATTTGCAGCCCCGACTACACAATTTAGCAAAACAAAAGGACCTTACACATACATATCTCTTCAAAGCATTTGAAGAGATATCCCAGTTGAGGAGCCTATCATTCAAGCTCTCTTCATCTGAAAGCTTTTGCGCTGAACAGCAGGGTTTAGTGCAAAACTTCACTCTGTTAGCCTTCCCAAGTAACAGGGCTCACAGAGAGGGCCAGAAATAGTGCGCTCTTGTTCACATATGAGTGGAAGAACCTATCTCTGCTGCTTAAAACACCTACAAGTGCATTATTTCTCTGTATAGCATTTGGGTAACTTCTCCCCACTTGAGTGTATCTTCAGTCAAGAAAAAGTATTTTTTGAGAACTCAAGGATACAAACTCTTTCATGGAGCATGTTGCCATCTATTTACCTGTCATGGAAAAAGCTTCCAGTGGCTCATCCTTGGCAGTACATCCTTCCTGATTTTTTTTTTCTCTCTCTCTATGTAAAATGTCTGTCTCAGTAGTAAATTGTGAGAAATAAAGGGACCGTTTCATCACTTGACAGGTAATAGCGGAAAAAAGAGTGGAAAAAATCACGTATACAATGCAGTAACAAGCATAAATACTCTGTATTGTTTCCTGACCTTTCACTTCATTTTGAATTGCAAATGGATTAATGATAGCGGAAAAGGGAGAGAGAAATGTATACAATGAAAAACTTTTCTGCTTCATCCCTTCTAAGATACAAACACTTTAGCTGCAAACCCCAAGTCTTTATGGTTGAAAGTAACTTTTCTTCCTAATGAATCTGGAATGCCTGAAAGACATGGGAAATCTGTTCCCCAGTTTAATATTAAACTGAAATATGATCCTTCGGTCTTAAACTGGGAACATCTGGTAGAAAACTCTGCTGGTCAAAATTTACTAGCTAATAAAGACTATAATGAATTTCCACAGTTAGAGAGTTACGCTTGTTTTATATAAAAGCAATCATGACACTACAAAGCACTCAACACTTAGAGCAAAGGCAAATATTATTTTGTAAGGCATGAAAGAAAGATACATCATTGCAATTTAAAATTAATTTTATGGCAATAAAATAACATACTTTTTTTCTTTTTAAATACATGACCTAATTCAAATATAACCAAACCTAAACTTTCAAACTCCTTAAAGCAAGAGATCAGACAAATATGTCAAATATGTTTAATTTTTCTCAAAATAACTGATGGCAAAATAAAATATTTACATCACGTCATACTGTGTAAACATGTAACGTCACTGTACAAAGAAATATACATGCAAACTAAAGCAAAAATTTAACTAAAACAATAAAGGAAAATAATACACAAACATAATGATATGAGGTTGATACGAATACAGATCCAGTTTCGAAGTCAGTTGTTTTCTTTTAAAAAGTTTCTGTACAACTTTACAAAAAAAACCCAAAAAACAAAAAAGGAATAAATAGAATACAGTGGAAGCCGCAAAGCTCAAAACTAACCCAGTCTAGGTTATGGCTTAAGACCCATATATCTAACTATTGCGGGATGTCGGCTTGGTTTCTTTGAACATGGCATTTCACACAAACATAGATGACAACACACCTATATGAACTCAGTGATGCACAGAAAACCATCTCTGTCTTTTTAAATAGCTCACGTTAATATTACTTCAACCTTAAAAACAGTTACTAAGACAATTACATTACGTGTCAGATTCTCCTCATCTGACCACTACTTTCTGAATGTATTCTTCACCAAAGAGCACAAAATTCATTTGTTCATTTCACAGAAAGAAGTAAACACAGATTTGAAAATTCTAAAAAGTAGTAAGTGTTGAGACTGATTTTGGGAAATTCAGACTTTGGCATTTTGAATATAATAATAAATTTTAAAAAGTGTCACCCTACTTCTTAACCAGTTTGAGATTTGGGATACGAATCTCTCTCTCTCTCTCTCTCTCTCTTTTTAATCCTTAAAACTGACTAGTCTTGACTAAATTCTATGCTAACCCTCATCTTAAACTAATAATGACAGTGTGGTACAACACACCCACCCGTGCCCACCCAGAAACCCCAAACACACGAACAAAACCATAAAGCTCGCCGTACTAAGTATGTGCTTTTTCTATATATTTATTACAGTTACAACAGAGGTCCTCATAAATAGTTGCATAAAATGTTAAAGCCACAACATTGCACATGATATGAAAGAAAACAAAATCCCAAATGAGTGCATTTACAGTATTTCATCCTGCTGTATACTGCTTGACAATCGGGTCGGCAAGCTGGGCACCAACCCGAAGTCCTTTTCTAAGGGGACAGTGAATACTGCCCCAAACTGAAGACCCGCACAGTGGTATACCACCATTTAGGAAGAAGGGGAAAAAAAGGATAAGGGGAGGGGGAGAAAAAAAAAAATTACAGACCGAAGGCAGGTAACAGTCTATATACAAGTAAGGCCTACATTTTATCAGAGCAAAACGATTCATTCTATTTGTATGCAAAAACTTTGAGGTTGGATGCACTTAAAAGCAGAGTCTGATCTCAGTGCAGTGCTACGTGAGATACATACAGGCGAGGCAACTGGAAAGCTCTAGGACCAAGTGAAAACCAGATGTTATAAATGAAGGCTGTACCAATGGGCAGCCATTTTGGTGAGTCTTCTCCAGGCATGATTTCATTTTTGTTTAACACCAGTGCTTTGAACATCGGCATTTCTTCCTTGAATAAATCTTGAAAACGGTAGTTAAGTTCACTTGCAAAATTTAACCCTTGTTTATTAAAAAAACTATTTTTTTTTTTTTGCAGAAACCTGAATAAAATACTGTTACTGTATCGCTCGTGACTGCTTTTTGCAGAGTACAGTGCTATCGTCCTCCACCCCAGTGAAGTCTGCATTGCCAGTCCCCACGCCACCCCACGCGGGTCCCCCTGGAATGCGTTTGCACACGAACATTCGCTAGCAGCTGGTTGGCTCGGGGTTTGCTTTCCTCAAAATTCAAGTCAACAGCTGATTGGCAGGAGGAGTCTTATCTCCAGTCTGATTGATTGGCAGAAGGAGTCTATCTCCAGACTGATTGATTGGCAGAAGGAGTCCATCTCCAGTCTGATTGGCAGGTGAAAGAGAATGAGAGAGAACTTCAAGCAAGGTCAAACTCTTGGCAAGAGCCTGCTCTGTAAGAAGTTTTTAATGCTACGGATGGGTCGAACATCATTCTGGTGTTTTCGCCGCTCAATGAACGAAGTCAGTCTGGATATGTCAATGCTGTCAGCATTTTTGCTATTCCCCAGCTGCAGCCATTGCTCCTGGAGGGCCAGTGCAGCCGAGGGACGCTTAGCTGGGTCATCCTGAAGTAGGAAGCATACAAAATCTTTGGCCTTCTGGCTAACTCCTTTGAAGTAGTCATCTGGGAAACTAAAGTCTAAGCGGCAAATATTCAGGCAAGTTTCCTCTACACTTTCATCCAGGAAAGGAGAGACGCCACTAAGAAGGACATATGTGAGCACTCCAATGCTCCAAACATCTGAAGTGAGGGAAACAGGATTTCCAAGAATAATTTCAGGAGCTGCAAACTCTGGGTTTCCGAGTAACTGGTGGATATAATACGTGGTATTGAGCTGGACTGCATCTCCGAAGTCAGCCAGTTTTATTGTTGGCTTAGTGGAACTCTGGTCCACCAAAATATTTTCAGGCTAGAAAACATAAAAGCAAAAGTTAAAATGTCTTTTTTCAAGTCAGTCTAATACACATGTAATGCTCCAACGTTACTGTTTCCCAGCCAGTGCTGTCAGCTCAAGAACATAACAAACAGCTACAGGCTATGAGGATTACTGCTGAAGGCCAGCTCTGCAAAGCTCCTCGGCAATCCTACCAATCCCCCAGACCAACCGACAGGCAGTTTCTTGCCAACTACAGTGTGCAATGAATATGTTTCAGCCGCTGGCACTGTAATTTTTGCAGGAAATAACAGTTCTGCCAGATATTACTGCAGATGTTCCCAATAACAGCTCTGCAAAGTTACACAGGAACCTGTGTTTGGGAACTTAAGCTTAAAGAACAGCAATTACAAGTAGAAGGTGAATAAAGCAACTGCTCTATTTGCTTTTTGACAGAGAGACAACAAACCCCTTGCATTTAAAGATTGGAAGACCTTGTCAGAACTTTCACAATGCTTTCAACAGAATTCAGCTTTACTTGGTGATTCTTTAACATAACTCAGCTGTACAGATGGAAGTCAAACATTCTTATGAGACTGTGGCAGCAGCAGATCCTGTTGGATGCACATGGCTTCAAGACAACTGCCCCATGATTGGTGAGCTGAAAGTGGAATTATTTTTATGGTTTTATTTCTGAAGCTACTGCTGCTGTGGCTGTGATCTTAGCAAAATAAGACTGACTTACCTACAACTAGTTTTTAAACCTGGAAAAAGTACTGGTGAACTCCATATAGCACTAGAAAACTGTAAATGTTGGGTCTCCATGATATGCAGACCAGACTGGTTCTGCTTGGAAAACGTAAGTATGTGGAGGGAAGATGCCGTCTCTTTTTGCTTTTTCTCACCATGACCCCTTTTGGCTAAAGAGACCCTGCCTACAAAGATGACTTTTCAATGCTAAAATTCCTTATTATTCAGATACAGGTGGAAAATAAGAGTATAAAGAATAAGTTTTTAATTAAAATGTTCACTTTAAGACCTTCTTATATAGCTTTTCCTACCAAAATGCATCAAATCCTTGTGGCTCAAGTAAAATTCACAGGGTAGAACAAAGGACCAACAGGTACCATTCGCACAGATACCACAACCCTCAAAGTGCAATGATGAGAAACAGATTTGCAGGAACAGAGGAAAAGCAGTCTCTGTCACAACCACCTATGCTTCTTGAGAAAGAAATAGATTTCTGCTGCAAGTTCCCCAGAAAATAAATCAATAAAAAAATAATCAAACAAAACTGTTCCTATCAGCAATTATTTCCAGCGAAAAGGAACACAGATGGCCAGCGAACTTTAAGGGGAAAGCACAGGGAATTCAAAGCTTCTGCTTTGCTGGCTATGAGTGATCTACAGCATTTGGGGATGGAGTCCTGCCCCATACCCTTCTTCATACAGTTTCAAAGCAATTCACAGTTCTATGCTCTGATCTGCCAGTTTCCTAGAAGAGGGAGGGTTTTATGCCTGGAATGGCACACGCTGCCAGGAATCCCATTCACTCCTCACCTTTAGGTCCAAATGTGCTATTCTGCAGTTGTGAAGATACTGCACAGCTTCCAGAATCTCTCCCAGGTAGAGTCTGATCTTCCCTTCTGTGAGGTTTCCCCATCGCACGACATAGTCTAGAAGGCGACCCTGGTCAGCCCTATTGGAATTACAAGGGTTATATTTTGTTTTAATTCAGGTATCAGAACTGAAAGGAAAACGTAAGTTTTGACAGTTATATTAAAAACGCTCAAGGCAAGTGTCCCTTAAAAACTACAACAGCATCAAGTAATCACTGTTTCTGATGTTTGGCTTGATCATCTGTGAAAATGTTCTATGTCACTTACAGCTGACCAGCACCTACAATTCTGAAGTGGGAGCAGAGGGTGAAGGAAGAGAATGAAAGGAAGAAATACTGTAATTTTAGCCAGACTTGAAAGACCAGGTATGTCCTGCTATAGACTACAGGAATAACCATAGCCTGCAGCACCTAGGAGACAGAGGACTAGTGTATGAAGAGGAGATTTGATATCAAGCTACCAGGTCACAGCATTCCTAATCCACTTGTATAATTGCTTCACACAAAATAATTTCTGGACCTTCAGACTAAGATAATCAACTACATATCAGTGCAATATATCAACTTATTTCCTTCTGAGTATATTATTAAACTCCATGTTTTAATAACAGCATTAGACATCTGCAATCTTTTATTTCAGTGTCTTCAAACTTCTGTGAAACCTTAAAGTTCCCTATCCATAAACCAACTCTAAAAGCCTTGGAAAGTCAGCTGCACAGGTTGTATTTTACAGATAACATTATGGTCCACACACATTTCTAACACTAGTATGTAGTTGGTGGAGGTCTCAAAGGTATCGAGAAGGCCAATGAGCTGGGGATGCTGGAGATTCTGCATGACTCCAAGTTCATGGGTAACCTGGTCTCGCTTCATCAACTTCTTATTCACAAACTTAGTGGCTACTGCTCGCTTGGTTCCCTTCTGGTCACACTTCTTAACGACAGAAAATCTGCCCCTGGAATACAATATTGAAAGGAAAGAATTAACTGAGAGATGCACAAAGGTCATACTTTTACCTTGAAAGATATCCTGAGAGAGACCTAATTTTAGATTTGTAATAAGCTACGCTTACAGAGCAGTTTCTGGACATAAACAAGAGTTTTAAGTAAATTCATCTTCTACAAAATGTGTCTGTATGAATAATTAGCTCCTGATAGAGATCTGTTTTATCACATTTGCAGAGAACTCAAGTCAGAGTAGCATCCAGCTTTCAAAGGTCATAATTAAGTTGGAGAAATGAATGTTCTATGTGACTTATTTTGCGTTTTGCTCATTTTCATACTTTTCATACCCTAAATAAAAAGGTTTAGGAGAACTTCACTACAGAAGCAGTGTCAGCCACTGTAAGGCATGGGGGGGGGGGGGGGGAGGCGCCCCGGTGAGTGGGGGGGGGGGGGGGGGGGAAAGAAGAGACGACTACGTAGCCTTCCAGAGTATTTAAAAACCATACATCTCTCAAGCTATAATACCACTTCAGCCTAAATATGTTCTGTTTATGCAGTGCCATCTAGTGCTGGTGAGATTTGCACTTCCTCATTTCTATTTAATCCAATGTAATTCTGGCCTTTTAGGCTCATATGATAAATATATTTCAAAGAGAATTTCATTTTTTTGAATGAGAAGTTCATATTTTGACATAGACAACTTTGGAGATCAGCATACAGAACGCACCTGCCAAGCTCAGCCACTTCACTGTAGAGGGAATCAAAGTTGTCTTTCCAGATTACCATGATCCCATCACTTCCAGGACCTAAAAAAAAAAAAAAAAAAAAAGACAGTATGGATAACATTTAATATCATCAGATCCTCCTCAGAAGTAAATTGTTGTCATTATAACCAATGGATTGTTTCAGATATTTGCAAAAGGAGAAATATTTGGACTTCATATTCAGTTTGGGAACAGATTTCAGGAGGAATTTGCCTCAGTCAGACTGGCCCCTATCATCTTTTGCTTGAAGCTGAGCATGTGCATATTAAAAAGCAACTCATAGCCTCATATTGTCCATCCTCTTGCAGCTGAGAAAGAAAATGATTTCTGGAATCAAGTACTTTATTGATCATTTATAAAGACTACTACAGCAACAGAAGGTAAAGAGTATTCTGGAGGAGATAATGCACAAGAATTGACTACAATCAAATGGCAAGTCCTTCAGGTCCAAAGGACTGAAAAAAACTTCATAGACTGATACTGAAACCTTACTTTGTGATACAGCCTTAGTCTTCATTTTGCTCTTATGGACTGGGGAAACAATGGGTAGGATGGCTGCAGAAAAACTCGGGCCAGAACTTTGTAAAAGTATTGGTAGAGGTGAGTAGAAGGGCTCGGGAAATATAGCTGCCTGTCTTCTGATGTCTAGTTGCAGAGTAACCAAGACATACCAAATTCTGGTTTAATTGTGATTGAAAAGTGAACACTTACTTTTGGACAAGGTCAGTAAGACAAAGGACTGCGGCTGAAAGATGACAGTTTAGTCTACAAGACTTCTGTGACTGATTCTGGCCAAATCACAGCTTTAGGCTTCTGCACTGGTGTAGGAAGGACACTCATTACACTAGTTCCTTAAAGCACACAGTTTCACACTGATTCTTGACATCAAAAGCTTTTTACTCCTCAGACTAGAAAGTTTCCTTGGCTGATACACTATCAGTGGAATCACCCCGTCCTGTTAATCCCCGTATGACACAAGGTGGCAGCAAGACAAACTGAATTACACACCAAAGCATCCCAGCCAATGCAGCAGAACAAATTCTGTAGTGGAACTAATGCAGGTGCAGTGGTAACTGTCTGTACAGGAATGAGTAACCTTTGCAAGTTCAAGGAAACAGCAAAAAGAATAGGTATCTTACATTATGTCTCATTATCATCAATACACCTGCCACTGAAAAAAACCCCAGTGATCAGACAGTATAGCAGCTACCTGAAAAAAAAAAAAAGCTCCATTCTTCAGGAAACATTAGTGTAAAGACCAAAATTCTGTTTTCTGCCTCTTTTATATATTGCAACACACCCATTCTAGGGCTTAACTACTGGCTGTCTTGGGTCAGTTAGCAGGAAGTGCTGGGAGTAATCGCCACCTCAATATGCTGTCAGTAAGGCACTTACTGCGGCTGCCAACAAGCGCAGCTCAAAGTGGCAGCACTGATTATAAACCCCCAAAAATTTCAGATGAGGTTTGCAAAGGGACACATCTTTCACAGTCTGGTTTCAATATTCCAGGAAAATGGCACAGTTTTTTGAAAAAAAAGGGAAGAACGAATATATTTGGAGAGGTTCGGGACACCTGTACAAGTCCAAATATCAGCTGGTACAGATGTACAAAGACAGAATGCAACACTTATCTTACTTTCTTTTATATGAGTCAATTTGAGACAGAGCCATTCCACCTAAAATCTATTAATTAATTCTCACTGATGGATAAATATATGGGCCTTTCAATAGATTAAAGGTCCCAGATACTATCAATTGTTATAAAATGCATGTAAGAAAGCCTGCTCTCCTGCTGTCTCATTGTGTTTTCCCTGTTTATAAAAATGGAGGACCCAGACACTTAAGAATAACGGAATGTACAAACACACACTAAAATTTGCACTACGCCAAACACATCAAGTAAAAACATTTTTTTTCCCCTTTGCTGTTCACCTCCAAAACACAGACATTTTTCATCTTTGCAGGTTTCCTTTTCATTCGCTCACAAACATTCAGGTTGCCTCACTTCAGGTACTGAAATAATGTAATTTAAGTGTAGATCCACAATGCAAAGTCAAGAAACAGTTATATGTTCTCTCAAACACTGTGGCTTTACAATTCAAGCAAAGGAGCATATTAAAATGCAGAGCAATGCCACTCTTTTCTTATCTGTACACTTTAGAAGTTACACACGTTGGTATAGTAACTTTCATTGAGACTAAACTAAGAATCCATATGATAAAATATGATTTTATCATAGTATGTTTGAACTAGTATTGACAGACAAGGTAAAGTTGACAGTACTGTGCAGGCATCTTGTCTGTAAGAACAGGCAGTACAACGTTGACAGTACTGTGCAGGCATCTTGTCTGTAAGAACCTCTAATTAGTTACATCCTAAAAGTTTATCTATTCCTGATGAAATAAGTAATATATCACAGGTGAAAAGGTTTGTTATAATACTCCTTTAATAGAGGGATGCCCAAGAGCCAGGGTTTTCTTTTTCCTGTACTATGGGTACCAGACATTTTGAATGTAGTTAGGTAAAAAAACCAAAGAGAAAGGCCTACCTAAAACTCGTAGACTGGCGGAAGATGAAACCGAACCCATATCGTTTGCAGCTATACATGTATAGATACCATCGTCTTCTGCAGTGACGCCAATGATTTTCAGTGAAGCCTCTCCTAAGTCACTGGGAAACACAATGGCATCCGTTAACTCTATATTCATTTCACAGACCTTAAGTTATGGAAATCAAACAGTTAGGTTGACACCATTAATATTTCTTATTCTCCAGCCCCTCTCTCTCTGGACAAACATTATTAACCCCGTCCCTGCCATTTCAGAAGCATCTACCAGAATCTGAGCACTCTGTGTCCATCAAGTATCTTGGAACATCCTACAGACTATTAGAAAAACATCCTCACTGACACTGTCTCAGCATGTCCTAGGCTCCATTGTGTCTGAAAAATCAAACGCTTCCCCTGTTTCTTCCTGCTTCCTCTACTTCCTTCAAATTATGAGAAGCCATATCGAGACAACCATCTATCACTGTTCTTTCTGAAAGGTTAGTTTCCATCCCTGACTCCCAGCATACAGACGCCAATCTAACATTTTTACTTTCAGAGCATTCATCTCTTCTAAGAGAGGGCTCCACCTTCAACACAAAAGGCACACCTCACCACAACCAAAGAGACCTCAGAATCTGGGAGAATGAGGATGGGAAGAAATTAAAAAAGAGTTAAGTTCTCCCTCTGCTCCAGGGCAGAGACAGCAATAAGCTATGTAAGACCACAGGAGAAAGATTCTGCAGACTCTTCCTTAATCTTTCTCACTGCTCAACCATCCTTTTTGTTTGACAGTTTGTCTTTAAATGTCTACTTAACTATTCCTCGGTGCAATTCATGTCTAGTACTTTTTTGACCATCTGTGGTGGACATGAACAGCAGATAATTCTATTTGCAGAAGTCTTACAGATGTGAGTATTTGGCAAGTCCTCTCTACACTTTTCACCTCTAGGCTCAAAACAACCCTAACATTGTGTTAGTTTTTCACAATAGGGCATATTTTGAAGATTTTCTATCATTCTTATTGGTATCCTTTGGATTCATCCCAGTTACTGCAAGTCATTTGACTGACTGAACCAAAACCTACTTGCCACAGTCTTCACCACATGACTTAATTTTAGGGGAAAAAAAAGGAATGTTAATTTTAGGAACATAGGAAGATGACACCACTCCCCCCCCGCCCCAGCTCAAAGAACATTTCATGTATATTATTTCTCAAAATCTGTCAGCCACAGCCAACATGACTTACTGAATATAATTCTGTAACAGTAACGGATCACAGTGAATTAAACCTAGTGAATCTAACTCTTACTCATCTCTCACAATGGTCCTGGATGCAGTAGCAGAGCTGCCACAATGCCTCTGTCTCCCATAAAAAAAATTACACCCAGTGAAAAGGAAAAAGCAGCAGCAGCAGGTGGTAAAAAAGAACAGTATAACATGCCATCAAGCTTGCAGGCAAATTGGGCTATACTGCACAACCTCTAAGAAGAGGACATACTCTTCTATCTATTAATGAGGAAAGTTTTCACAAAAAACCCCCTCATTCTGAACTGAGAGCATAATTCATAAATAAGACATTTTTTCACACTGAAGTTACTCATTAAACAACGTTTTCTGTATCTAAAATAACGCATTTTCAGAAAAAAACCCAACTTTTCTAACACGCAGTTTCACATTCCAAAATACAGCAATTTCTCTTATTAATCAGGTGTTCCGAGTTCCCAGTTAGTCTGGTAAGTGCTATCATAGTAAAGCTAAAAACAGACAAAAATGTTAACTTCTGTGCTTCAACAATGAAGACAGTGACATTGCCATGTCAGTAGGAACCAGAGGCTTTTCTTTGCAAAATACTGTAGTGTGATCTGAAAGAGGTCATTTGCCTCAAAAGTGATGGTATGCTACTAATGGAAATAAGGGATTAGCAGATGGCATGTCACACCGCTGGCATGTCACAACATACCGTTCTGGTTCAAGCACTAGGTCAGTGTGACAGAACCACAATGGCTTCTGCAACAGCTAATCAGAAGTACCAGCTGAATTTTCTTTTGTTTTTAAAAGTCAACTGAATGTGACATTTCATACGTAGAAGTTACACAATACGTCCAGAAAATCCCAGCTGTGAAACAGTTCTGTCTGAGGGCAACCCTATCTTTGTGCCTCAAAACAAAAAGCTATCCTCCACCAAGGGTGCAAATAGAAAATATAACAGTTTCAGCAGTTCCCATTGAACATTACACAAATTACTGTACCTGTACGAAATGCTGTGATGACCGTCATTGCTCAGTGTGTTATGATCAGGACCTTTCCAAGTAACTGAAGCCTTGGGGCGACCACAGACTTTACACCTAAGCACGATGGTCTCTCCTGTCTCACATGTTACCTCACTCAATGGTATTATAAACTCTGGGGGAACTGTGAAAAGAAAATGAATGGCATTAGGTCAATTGAAGTTACTCAATTTGCTTTTCTATTCCTTGCGCTCTCTCTTTTCTATTAGACAAAGTAGTATGGTACTTTAAATTTCCAAAGTGTATCTATCCCTCTACCCTTGGAGCACATCCATGGTTAGGCCACTTGTTGGGGCTCTGCAGAGCTAGTGAATTTTTCTCTGCATGAACTTGGACACAACACCACTGCTATGCCATGGTTAACCCTGAAGCCTACCATGGTGAACCAAACACCCTGTTTATGGCAAGCTGAGGAAACCGTACAGTGAAATGTATTTAAGGAAGTGCTCAGCCAGGCTATCTTTATATCCAGCTAAGTTTGCACAAGGGAACACACAACACCACTCATCCACTGAGGCACTGCGGTGGTTTCCCTTTTTGCATAGAGGTGAAACTCGAAAAGTTGAGTTCATGTTTATAACATAGAAACCCAGTTTGGCTCTGACCCCAGAGGGCCACTGGCTTTGTCCTGATCAGCCTCTGCACTGGACAGGCCCTGAACATTCCCTAGGGTGCAAGATTAAAAATGAAGCAGGTGGTCTCCAACTCCTGGCCTTGTTATTTTGCTAAAATTCAACAAGGCCCAACTTCCAAAAAGTCTCCATGCAAATGCAGTACAGTGCAAATCTTTCTGAACATGTCATATAGTCCTTGTGTTTTATGTTGGTTTGGACTTGTGAACAAAAATGTGTTCCTTGCATCTTAAAAAATAAATATGACATATTTCATTAACTGTCTCCCTTATCCAAAAAGAGCCTATGTATATTTTATAGAAAACACTCAGTTCCTGACATAATTCATGTCAAGCAAATTTAAACAAAGTAAATCATGTTCTAATCAAATTATATTTACTGGAACTTTTAAAAATTAAAGCAACTTACCATCATAAATGTAATTGGGGTTGAGAAGCTGGAAAGGAGAAATTAAAGAATTAATGTCCTTACAGCATTATAAGAAATTAAAGAACGGTAGAAAACAAAGTACAAGGATGGCTCGAAGTTAGCTGTACCCACAAAGATCCAAGAAACATCTGAACACCAGAATTTATGCATCACTGCTCTTTCTGCAGTATCCTTACGCTATATCATGCTTGCAGGCTCAAAGATTATGTCTTCCCATTTTCAGATTTGGCAAACACTGTCCATTAAAACCACTGTTGCCTCCAATTCCTTCATGTGAAATTCTGACAGAAGTTACTTTTAAAGAAATCCCAACACAGCTCCTTTTGGAAACTACTACATCTTTGTAACATTTACCTTTACAGAAACCTTGTTGGCAAGTCCTTCTCGGGATTTGCGGTAACCATTTTCTAGCTTGCCTTCCCTTTTGCCGTCTTTATCTTTTTTCTCAGATTTCTTCCTTAAACGGAGTGCTGTGTGCCAAGACGTTGACTTCCTGAATACAGAACATTAAACTTTGATCAATTTTTTTCAACTCCAGGTTATGTGTTATACTCTCTAGTTTCAAATGGCATTGGAGAAGTATGTCAAAATGTTATTTCATTGTATTAATGTATACTGAAATGAAATAAATTAAGTATTCCATAAGGGATGCTACCCTTGGTTAAAACTGTAAGCAAGCTAGTAAGATTAGTCTGTCGTTCAGTTATTTCTTTAAATCATTGCTGGAATGGTAAACTTTCTATACGAAAAAACAAACTGTCAATCATACTGAGCAATGATCAGTATGAAATCCATATCAAATACAGCCTATAGAAGCTTTACTGCTAAGAACTTGGATATAGTTTCTTCCATTGCAAATTTGAGAGAGATCTTCCTAGCACAACCAGACATTTTCAATAGGTTTGTGGCTCAAACAGGAGATCTAGGAACTCTAAAATCTCTTTTCACTTGAAACAAACATTTATTACTGTTTTCCTAAACAAAGGTGGCTAGCCTGACAACTCATTCTATTAAATAAACCAGTAACCATTGCTGCTCTTAAATCAGATATTATTTCATCACCTTTTCCCAGAAGACAGCACTACTACAGCTTTTTAATAAGGAACAGGTACTTCTGGGCTCTTACATTTTGAAGATTGCTAAGGGACCTCTCAAGTACTCATTCTGCTTGACATTCATGTATTTCTCAAAGATCACATCAACTTTTGGTTTAAAAGGTTCAAAGCCTTGTCTAAATTGGAAATTTTTCTTCCTCCTTCCCTTCTACACACCCACGCACTCACTTGATGGTTCCATCAGGGTTGTCAATGATGACTGCACTGGTATGTCCCAAGACATAGCCAGGAATCCAGCCCTCGGCTGCGGGGCACTGATCAGTGGCGGCTCTGAACACCAAAAACATGTTCTGTTGGTTGCTGGCTAGAATCTGCACGACCTCTCCTTGGTAGACATTTATCTCATCCTCCTTCACTGCCGTGTAATCGTGTGTCACCAGCATGGTGGAGATATTGCTACTGCTGCTACTTTCACTCTGCAAGTGTCAATTGGAAGCACAAAGAGGGGGAGAAAAAAGAATCAAGTTTAAAGTTCATGAAGAAGACAGGCTGTTCTTGGCCTGCTACCTTACAACCATTACCTGCATGATCCACATAAGCTGTAGTCAAAGAATAGCGCTACGATTTCTCTTTTAAAGCTGCCTGTGTCTATTTATATCATGCAAATTAGTCTGATTTTTTAATACCTTCACATACAGCTGCTGCAGAAATTTATTCCCATTACTTTTACTCAAGACTACTTCCTTTAACTAAGAGTCAGTTTATACATAGATCTCCACTGGTCTTCCTTTCAAGCTCAGACACTGAACCTTGCACCTTTATCAGGCAACAAAACTAAGTACATCATGTAGGACAGTTTTTCATGGTCTTACAGGTGCAGTTTCAAAATCAAAACAGGTCAAGACTTTACCTCATAAAGACCAGAAATTCCAACAACGAAAAATACATATAGTCTTTCCTAGCACTATTTGTCAGATCTCAGACACCAGCCTTCTGCACACAAAACATGACGAAGTACAAAAGAACAAAATAGGCTTTTGACAGTGTCTCTCAAAGCCTCAAGGCTTGTCCCTGGTTGAATCTGTATGATCAGGTTTGTTCCTTTAAATGCACAGGATGAGGTAAATTGCTGAAATAAGAAATTATTCATTACTTGGGCAAAACAGGCACACTGAACCATCGGAATAAAGCTGGAAATATCACTCCTAATGGATTAATGACTATCATAGCTGAGTGTTGTTAGCTATTTATCATACAGTTTCAACTAGTGTTCATGAATGTTGTTCGTTTTCTTACTGAGCACTTGCAGAAAGCTAATTATGGCTGATCAGGTGTACATTAAAAGTCATGCTACTTTTCAAAACAAAAAGCCTTCTCCTGGACATGAATCCACTGGAAATAATTATTTTTTAAAAGTAAGACTCATTTTGTCCATTTGCATGCATTTCTCATATGTGGTTTAATAAATGGAAGTGTGAAATCTATTATCAGACTATGCAACCTATTCCCTGAAATAAGTTATTTCCTTCTTGAAACAAGTTAAAACCAAAGTGGATGGCCTATTAATGATGTGGCATGAGGCATATATGTGTGTGCCTGTCTTTTATCCCTGTTCTTACTTCAAACTGTTTCAGTTCACTACCAGTGAGGGCTCACTATTGCTTAGTAGTAGCTGAGTTGAAGAAGAAAATCAGTACCCAGCTGTAGCTGGAGACTACTATGGCATATATAGCATAACCACACGTTAGCACCACGTATGTGCTAGCAGTGAGCGGAAAGCTTGGCACACAGGATTAAAACAGCATCACCGTTTTTTCTCAGAACTGTCAAATATTTCTCCCCTCAGTGCTGAGGGAATACAGCAAGGGTCAGTGGACAGCATGGTACACTAGGAGCCCGGAAAACCATGTTCTCTTCCAACCTGCTAATGGCCTTGAACAAGTCACTGCATCTCTTGATGCCTGTGATTCCTCATGAGTGTTTTGGCTGGCTAATCGACTGAGAAACCAAGACATTTGGAAAGGAATAGTCTCAGATTACATTCATAGCATCTGCAGCACACTGATGCTTGGATTTCCAGTGAGTCTGCACATTTTGTTCTAGCTAAACTATTTTATTCAACTGGGTAAGTCAGGTCCATTCTGTCTTTTTTCCCCCTATTAGGATGATGAAGCAAATGCTACCACAGAGAAAGATCTCATCCTGGATTGTAACCCTACTGAAGGATACTTATGTTTAATTCCAGACACTCTATTTCCAGTGGAAGAAATAATTTTGTCTGGCTTAGAGGACTGTCTGCATGGTCTTTTTTTATTAGCAAGCCCCTTCCATGATTCAGGCAAACTGGGAATAGTAGAACCAAAAAATCAATCTCGTTTTCAGTCATTGTTTAAGCTAAGATTACAACTTGCTAGATTCTTTTAGCTAGATGAAAAACAACGCTACTCAAAGAAAGCTGGGGTTTTTAACTCCTTCTGTTAGACTTACAGGAGGAGAGGAAGGGAAGGCTGAAGTAGCAAAACCAACCTAAGCCCCAAACTTTGCCCCACACGCTATTCCTGAACATACTGTTTCTTAGCGTGCAGCAGAATTTGAGTAACTGCAGGACTGACCTTCCTGTAACATAACATTTCCTTTTAATAGTTAAGTCTTGACGGATCATATTAAACTCTGAATATTTCTTATTTTCAACAAGGACAGATACATCTGTTAAATAAACAAGTGTCTGGTAACTACTAAGTGACAAACGTTCTTGTGACTGTGTTTATAACAGAATTTATTCTCACCACAGAAAGATAGCCTTTTCTTTTGCCTTGCAAGGAAGTAATTATTCTTGCACATTTAATGTGTTTCTACTGCAAGTTCTGCTGGTCACCACTGACCTCAATTATGGGATTAGAGGAGGATTTACAATCAAAACATAAACAATTCCTCCCATATTCCTGAAATACTAGCAAAACCAATTCCTTTTTCTTCTTCTTAGAAGTAACTTTTCCATATGTAACCAAACCTTAACCATATATGCATGTAAATACACACACAAATGGTTAAATCAAAAGAAACCTTCACAAACCATCTTCTCTAGCCTGTTGAATGTGGTGAGAAATTCTGCTAAAGTATGGTCTAGAAATGAGGTTATAAATGAACAATTATGACCCATCTCAATTACCAAACTAAAAGAAACACAGTTGTGAAGCAGAAGGCATGCATTTAAATATTACGTTTTACAATAAGATAAAAACAAGCAATGGTGTCTTTGCTGAGATAGTATCAAAATTCAAATGTTTTGAAAACTCTGTGCCATCCTGTCTTGCCCTCTCTCTTTTTTTAACAGAACGACATAAATTAATACTATGCAAGTCTTCTCTACATATAAAAAGTACCACCATCTTGATTCACATGCTGTGCAGTAATTGCAAAATACTGCAGTTATTCCAGATATTATCATCACACTTGCTAGATTGAAGATAAACACAAGACAGAGCTAAACCAAATGAAAAGCTGAAAGAAGATCAGGATAAAAATACGATACATGCAAAGCGTATTTTTTTTCTTCCAAAGCTATTATAAAAGTAAGTGTAAGAACTAAGAAGTCAAGAAAGCTCTGTGTGTTAAACAGTTCTATAAAGAAATGCATGCGTTTAAAAAAGGTCCGGCAAGTTAGGTGATTTGCAAAATTGGTATTGCATACGATTTGTGAGAGAGTGGAAAAACAAACATTCGTGAACACAACACTTAGTGAGAGAAAAATCAAATGTGAGTTTAAAAAGAAAGAGGCACCATAGCCTGCCTACCACATCCATGGCAAGTGCCTTGGAATTTTTGCTTTATACTTGCACATGCCCCTGTGATTGCTGTGTTGCATTTCCTGGTGGACGTTACTACAGAGAATGTGGATTCTGTTGATACCCCAGCTTTCCGCACAAACACACTTAAGTGCACACTAAAAGGTTGAATCTCCAGATGCCCTAAACCAGTTCTTCTTACAAAGCAGAAAAGACAAGTGGAGCCGCTATTTGTTTTGGTTGTAGTAGAAGGATGATTATTTTAGCTAGGTTTTGTTCGCTTATTTTGAGTGGATTGCAGGAAGCTTCCTTGAGCAGACACAGAATTTAAAAAGAGAATGTTGTACATCAACTAAGGCTGAAAGGAGGGGGTGGGGGTGGAAATAAATTAATGAAAAATAAAAATCAAGCAGCCCAGGGAACGTACTGTAGATGTCTCCACGCAGTTAAAACTCAACAGGACAATGGTGGCGGATTTGTGCGTGAAAGGGAAAAAAAGCCCCAAGGCAATCTGCCAAAATCTTGAAGTCAGATTTAAGTGCCGGCTGCAATGCATACCCCAAGGTGCTCTGGCTGCCACGCTTCAGCATGTTAATTATGTGCCTTCAAATTAGAGACGAAAAAAGCAAGGAGAGCAAGTTAGTAAGTATCAGCCTAGCAATCTATGTTTTCAGCAGAGGCAGAAATTGCATCTAATGTTAGCAGTTGCTTTTGTGTCTGTATACATATCCATGTTCGTATGTATACGTACACAGGGAGGTAGACAATTTTGGTTTTTTAATGTGCAGAAGATATTTGAACAGTTGATTATTTCAGAGCAGTACAGCACCGGAGAGCCAGAAGTTAGTACGGAGAGTGATGGTAACGCGCAGAAAGGGAGCATGGGAAGGTTTTAGAAGAGCTCGCAGGACAGAGGTGCTCCGCTCTTACCCCATTACTCTGGGTGGAGTGAACTGACTGCTCGCTGGTCGAGGAGCATGTGCTCATGCGGTCTGTGTCCTTGCTGTGTGAAGAGTGGCGGTGGCCCTGCCGCTGGAGGGAGTCATTGTCCCCAGGGAAAGTGAAGGAGCCAGGGCGGCTGGCAGGGGATGCTGGGATGGAGCTCCAAAAGGAGCCCTTCTGCAGGGGGCTGCTGGGTGGAAAGGTTTCTTTGCCAAAAGGAGAAGGGAAAGTCGTGGAGATAGGAGAGTTCATTGGTGAGATGGCTCCTGGCCTTGGCTTCCCAAGCGTCAGTGATCCTATGCTGTTTCTTGAGCGACTGTCCTCTGAGCTTCCACGTGAGTCTTTCTGGGCTCCGTCAGCTGAGCCAGAAATGTTTCCTGCTGTCTTCCTGGGACTTTCAATAACTTTCATCTTGGGAATCTGCTCAGCTTCTCTCTGAGGACCATCCGGTTCTGCATTGGGAGGGTGCCTGTCTGGCTGGCTCAAGCCAGTTTCTAAGGAGGTGTTGTAGTGTGGCAGGGAGAGATTGTGAATGGACATACCTGACATCTTGTCTGCCTCTGCTTGGGCCGAGGCTGCAGAGGAGACCAGGACTGGGGAATGGTGTCTGACAGGCTGGGGGATCCGGGATGGCCGGCTACGGCTGGGGCCGCCGGCGGGGGCCGCTGCTGTTACCGCTGCTGCTCCCGCTGCCGCCTCCACCACTGCTGTGGTTCCTCTGGTACTCGATTGGGGACGTCAAGGCTGCAACGGGGGTGGGAGGGGAGGCGATCAGGGAAAGGAAGGCAGGAAAGGGAACAGGAACAATTTAAAACAGACATGTTTACTGGCAAAAGGGCAGTGCTGTTCAAATAAGATAAATTCCCTTAGCAATGCTGGTCATGCCGTAAATCTCAAGTCACTTCTATATCACACCTTCATAACCTGCTATATGTACCTCTATTAAAGATGAGAAATCTGAAACCAGGGAGAAATGTTTTCCTCACATTGTCAGTCAGCAGCCAAGCTGGGAAAAAACAGGTGTGATTCTGAATTCTCAACTTGTTTTTACATCCATTACAACTCTTCAAAAAAACACTAGTCTGGGGCAACAACCCATGGATACAAAAATACAGCAAGAACCTTCTAGTGTCACAGCAGACACTACCTTCTTCTACTTTTCTCCTGCAGTTTTAATGTTTTTGCCACAGGAAGATGTGACAACAACGGCCACCAAAATAACACAAGCAAAACATATTCTGAATAGATGCTTAAAATTCCACTTGGGTTTAGCCTTTAAAGGCTTGCATTTGATTAAAAGGGGTACACAAGCTCTCCGCCTCAACGGATGGCGCCAATCTTGAGTCACTCCTACAAAACATTTGGAAAATTTCACCAAGAGAACACCATGTAAATTCAGACTACCACTCTTATAATAAATGCTAGCATCTGTTCTGAGGCAGAAACGCGGCACATATCCCCCAACTGCTCTGTATTAGCTCAGGAAAAAGGAAACTTGCAAAACATTTCAAAGCCAAGAAACAACAGATGAGAGAGAAGTTGTTCAATTATGAACTTTCATTGAGATGAAATAATTTACCATTTAAAAAGTTGCGCTGGTTTTCCAAAATTTGATTAATTTCGTGGATCCATAACTGGCGGACTCCTGGGCTGGCAGAATGCAAAATAAAGGTCTCCGTGACATCGCCCGTTCTTGATGTTAGTGCAAATTTACATGGATCGCTGTCCACATTTTCCTCCAAGGA